TTGTTGCTATGATATTTGGCTTCAAAGTTTGGTGACGCTGTTTTGATTGGGGTGGCCACTACTGGGTGTGGCCATTACTAGGTGTCCGAGCTTAGATATATATAAAGGGTGGCTGCGCTTTAATTAAATGTATTACTAGATTTATTATCTATTGACGCCGTCGCCTCTAACGCGGGCCAAGACTTTTCCAGGCTTTAGAAGCCGCGACTGCTGCAGCACGTTTAGGCCGCGGCTTGGGTACATCTTCACGCTCAGCAAGTGCGTTCTGAACGTCAACTTGTGCGAATCTCTCAGTATAGAAAGCTTCCATGTCTCCAAAGTGATAGTTCCAAGCCATGGTTGGTGTGCAAGAAGCGAAGAGTCCTTGCGTGGCAAGAGCCATATTCCGTGCCTCCACTAGTTCTATAGGATCCTCCTCTTGCCCGGTCTCTGCTAGAAAGTTGGTAGCTGACATCATATCATTACACTGGTACAGAACAGGTTGAGATCGTCGACCTTCAATGTCAGCTAGAAACTCTTCTAGTGTTGGAGGTCGCCAGACAGGAGACGGGGCCATGGTGACTGACACAGCGACAGCTACCGGCGGGGATGAACGAGGAGATGTGAGTGAAGGTAAAGGAGCAGGTGCTGGAATTGACACAGATATACAAGTGGTCACAGGACCCGCGCCTGGTAGAGATGTAGGAACTGAAACAGTGACTGAAGTGCTGACTTGCTGCAGAGCTTCGACCAGTGTTTGGCCCTGGGGTTCATGGTAAGGCTGATAGCGAGGGATAGAAGGTGGCACAGGTCGTTCCAAAGCTGAGGGGTCCCGACGAGTAGATGCTTCATTTCTCCTTGGTGCACCCCTTGTTTGAGCTACAAGGGGCTCTAGAACAGACTGGTATGGCCTAGGGGATAGAAACACTGAATGTCCTTGCTCGCGTTGATAGCGCCAGTGATCGTCATAAGATAGTCCTTTAAGACCTTATGCATTCCTTCAACAGGTGAACTTGTAATCGTGCTATAGTGTCGGTGGTGAGAAGCCCATGCAGCTGCCCACTCCGTGCGTGTTAGGTATTGGTTCTCTTGCAAGTACCTGCAGAGCTCTGCCTGATGGCTGTAGTCTTTAATTAAATTATTCCATTTAAACTGGAACTCTAACGGCCTCTTTGCGTAGACTAGCTGCCCTAGTTAGCGAGAGCTGAATGATATAACTGGTGTCGGCTTAGAGTGCTCGCAAAAACTGGGGGTAGTATACCTGAGTTCAGCGTGTTATAAATGATTTCCTTTGATCAGCAATTCTCTGTTTTGCTTCTTTTGTTACACTATCAGTATCTCGCCACGTTTGCTGCGCTTTTGTCTGGACATTCTTGTTGATATGCCATACACATAAGAGCTGAGGAACTCTTGGGAGTAGCGAGCGTGCTGCCATCTTTAGAGCTTCTTCCTGATCGCTGATGAATACACGCGGTTGTTGCACGCCAGTCTTGTGCAGGAAATTTGCGATCGCCCAATAGTAGTCTGTATGTCTCATTGCTGAGAAAGCAGAAGCCTGCAGAGAAGAAGGTCTGCAGGTTAGTGCAGCCAAGAATGTGTAGTAGAGGGAGTTTGTACTTGTTAGTTCGATATGTGCAATCCATTAATAAGACGTCAGGGTTTGCTAGTAGAAGCTCGACCTGCTTCTGGTGGGTGAAGAAGAGGTTCTGAATACGATTATTATTACCTTTCTTAACTGCAAAGATCTAGTCTGTGGTGGATAGATCGTCTAGTAGTGTCTCAACCGGGTTTCTTCTATTGAGATGCTTTTCCCTGATAGCCTTCCTCTCGCTGCGGATATCGGTGGCAGATATCAATGTGTCCTGGTCTTCTCTCTGGATAGCAGCCAGTATCTGCATAGGCCGCACGCCAGCATGGGTCATTGATTGTATGACTTCCTTTTGTGCTGATGTACGTCTGCGGTAGACATTGTGCGCGCTTGAGTTGATTGACTGGGAATGGTTGTGGTCCTTGTTCTGTACTTCTAACTTCCATTGATTGCTGTGCTTTATCCTGAAGATAACAAGCCTGAAAGGGCATCCTGTTGACCGCGTACTTGTGCTCAGAACCTTTGCTGTTGACTGGTAGTTATTTCTAAAGTGATCGCAGTGGTAGTAGTAACGTGTTTTAATAGCTGAGTTATGAGGCCAACTTCTTTTGAGAATTAAGCTATAGCCATGTTGTATGCCGTGCGCTCTAAGCGCGCTGTATGCTTCTTCGTAGGAACCGTATAGGTGGTCTGGAGGGGGGGTAATGTTGCCCATATCATTCAACAACAGGAAAATAAGCTAGATAGCCACGTTTTTCGATGAGCGTTTACCTGCAGTAGATATCTAGTGATGTTGCGGATGTAGCGGATTCGAAGATTACGCGCTAAGCTAAGTTAGAGAGAAAGTTTACACTAGCACTAGCGTTGGGGACAAATCTCAGCAGCCAAGACATAAAGTATGTAACGTTACATTAATGTCCCTCCCTGTGTCACGCAAATCCCCCCGTGCCGCAAGAAAAGAGGGGTAATTCATCCTTAGAAAGCAATGTTTCTATCCACGCGTTGT